CTACATACTTGTTACAAGCATGGAATTTAAGTTCTTTATATTCTACATAATTTATATAATAAGTTATAAATAATAAACTACAGTACTGTACTTTGTGGCTATAAAATCATTGAATTTTCTACACATTTCTTTACAAAACGTAAATACTATAACAATACCTTTTCATATTTCCTGATTTTCGTAGCATAATAAGATGTATAAAATCAATGTTTTACATTTTAAATAGTTACATATTGTAGATAAATCTTCATTTATGCTGGAAGAAGTACATACAATTTTTGATACTTTTAATAAGAGATGATATTATGTAAAAAATACTGTAAATGTGCAATATTGTGTAAATCTTGCAATATGTACTATTTACATACATGAAGTGTTAATTTTAACCAGTTGGTAATATGTAATTCAATTTATGTGTAGTAATACACATGTTTAAAGACTTTTGAAATTATAGTGTAAATGTTTAAAATAATTTTCTTATATTACTGAAATAATGCTAAATCAATATAAATAAAATATTTTAATTATTGTGATCATTTAGATATTTTTTTTATTATTATTCCATGCAAAAGAGAAGTTCCTGGGTAATAATTACATCTATTGATAGAGTATTCTTTTCGGTTAAAGTAAAAATCAACAATTAAGAAAAACATATAATTATAAATGAAGTAGTAAAATGTAGTTCTAATAGAAATTTGATATCTTTTCATCAGTACATAGTGTATCACACTGATACATTCTATTATTCAAATTTTGTTATACATATACTATTCATTTTACAGGTATTTTTTCTTACCTGAATTATTTTTCAGATGTAATTAACTTCTTTGTTTTATATACCAGCAATTTGTATAATAAGAATAAATTATTCTTAGTCTACCATGCCTATATAGATGGTAGGTACAGTATCACGCTTTTACTTCTAGTTTTAGAAAAAACTAGCTTTATAGCCATTGTAACAAATAACTGAAATTTTTGTAAGTTTTTAATGTTAATCTGCAATCATTCCTAAATCTGTGTTATTAGTAGCTACATTCATTTCTTTATCTTCTATAACAGTTTTATTTGTTATATTTGAAAGTGTTTGATGCATCATTGAAGTTTGATTGTCAGTCTTTCCTTCCTCTACTGACTGAACTGTTGTTAATGTAGTCCACCAATTAGAAAAAGCTCCTTTGGCTTGCGAGAATGCACCACCTAAGAAATATAATAAATAGTATTCGTTAATAACGTAAAACAATTACAATTTGAACATTATTTAGTGCACAACACTTATATTAATGATCTTCTAATATTTAGTACATTTTAATTGCTTTATATGTCAAATGATCAAAAAAAGAAGGAATGCGAGAATTTATCTGATTCAAAATTTTGATTTCCAGATCATCTGATGTTCATGTGCTTGAATTCGTTTCTATATCAGCTATAACGTGGTGTGATTGAAAATATGAATTCCATTACAAAAATAACGGTGATCTTGAAATCTAAAAAGATATAAACTTAATTTAAATAATTTATGAATTATAACATTTACAGCCATAAACCTAACAATTTTTCCCTAATTATTTTGTCACATTAGTAAAGACAATGGAGATATTTTAGTTCATCTTACCTACTGCTTTTCCCGTTGTTGCAACTGCCCTTCCAGTTGATGCCATTGCTTGATTCAATTTTCTGCCACTTTCTGTATTTTGCATTGTACTAGAATAAATGTATAAATTTAGTTTTATATGTTTATTATTTTCATGTTTATGTTGCATTAGTACATACTTACTGTGATAATCGTAATTTCATATCTTGCACTGATAATTGCCCAGCAAACGGATGACCAGGTTCCATATTATTAATTTCTGGCTTACTAGAACTACTCCATATTTTATAATTATTTGTTGAACGCCAAGCAGCCATAAATGCAGAATTGTAATGATCACACTGACGAGTATCTTGTTGCATAGATGTTCTTAACATACTCAATAAGTAAACACGAAATTGAGTTCTAATCCATTCATCTCCACCTTCCCATCCTACACCATCCAAAAAAATATCTTTGCGTGGTTCTGCTACATGTCTTACTACATAATCTGCAAATCTGAGATCCTCTGTTGTAAGATGCAATTGTCTTCTTAATTCAGGATCACTTGTTTCTATTCGTGTATTTTCAACCTTTGTGTTTTAGTGAAGTAGTTTATCAGTAATACAATATTTTATCTTTAGAATTAAAAATTCCAACTGAAACTTACTTCTACTAACACATCAATAAGTTGTTTTTTCTGTTTAAATAAAACATTTGTTGCTCCCACTATGTAACCTCTAACATTAATGTCTGCCAGAAGGTCCAAATATGGTAAGGACAGATATGGTAAACATAGATAACCCTTAAGAAAATTAATAAATTAGTAACAATTAATTATATTTTAATATTTATAATAATTATTTAGATGAGCAATTTGGGTAATATTATTTGTTAAACGTACATCCGAAAGTGCATCATTACTTGTATCACGTGGTAATGTATTGTCAGTATCTGTTGTACTTAATGTAATTGTATTTATACTCTGTACCCTGTGTACATTATCATTTGGCTTTGAAGAATACACAGAATTATTTTCTTCTACATAAGATTCAGTGCATTCTTGTGCTGATTCAACTTCAATAACCTTCATACTTAAATTTTCATTTTCATTGTTATTCTTTTGTACCGTCATATTTTTAAATTCATCCATACATTTACTTTCCATAGTTTCAATAGATTTGTTGTCATTTATGCATAATGAATTTCTATTAGAATTACCATTAATATGTTCTTTAACTGTATCAGATATGTTATGTTTTACAGAATTTGTGGAGGATAAATTATTATCAATGTTATTTATTGACATTTCTTCTTCATCAAACGTAGGAATAGGAGACATGGGTCTAGATGGTCTAAAGGAAGATAATAAAAAATAATTTATGTAAACAGTAATTAAAAAGAAGTACTTTTTTTCTCATTTTACATTATATATACTACCTAACACATGCAGCTTGTTGCAAGCCATGTTCTATCATACCAGGAAACAATGAGAGTAATGTCAATATTGCAGCACATAATGGTTGAACTGGTGACTGATAAAAAACTATTTTTCTTTCTAATAAAAGTAGTTTAAATAATAAGACAGCTTTATGACGAAATTGCAATATGAAATCTCTTGCAGACAATCCTATAAATATTCATTTTTTTTACATAAAATATTTATTTAAACCATTTTCAATTGAAGAAAAACAATGATTAATATTTTGTAGTTACCAACAAAGATTTGGGGTGGTATTTGACTTTCACTGCTCATACAAGAATTAAGGTGATGGTATGTATCTTCTAATAATGACACTTTGCTGAAGTCACCTTCTTCAAAGTATGCATGTGTTATCAAAGCCATTTTTACTTGAATGTGACCATATAATGGTAAAGTGCTTAATACACAAACAGATTTTTGAACTGTTCCTCTTGTTATATCAGATGTACGATTTTTTAATTTCTGAAAATACAATGATTTTTAAATAAATTCTTAAATATAAGTTGTATTATATTTTATAGTGTAAATATGTACAGAGCATTTGGTAATTAATAAAATTCTCTGCAAGTTTTCAAAAATAACATTTCACACAGAAAACTACAAAATATGGAGTTATTTATAGTTTTTCAATATTAAAAATATCTTTCAGTACTAACAAAAAAGGAAGAACATATTTACAAAACTAAAATGTTCTCAAATACAATAAAGAAATAATAACTTCTGTACAATTTATAGTTTGTATGCCATTTTGTGTTTGAAATTACCCTTTAAATTAACTGTTATATATAATAATAATACG